CCTCAAGCCCTCGAATCTCCTCCTCAACGCAAACTGCGACTTGAAGGTCTTTATCTTTCTCTCTATTGTCCACAAATCTAACACCGCCGCAGCTCTGCGACTTTGGCCTCGCACGCTCCGCACGGCCCCCGCCCAACGTCGCGAACGACAGCAGCACGTTCATGACCGAATACGTCGCCACGCGGTCCGTGCATCTCCCTCCATGTCGCAACTATGCTCATCTCTTTGCAGATGGTATCGCGCCCCGGAAGTAATGCTCACCTTTAAAGAGTACACCCGCGCCATCGACATGTGGTCTGTCGGCTGTGTGTTGGCGGAGATGCTCAGTGGCAAACCGCTGTTTCCGGGCAGAGATTGTACGCCACCCCTTCCTCCTTCCCCCTCCTCCGTATCCTTCACTCACAACTCCCCACAGACCACCACCAACTCTCCATCATCCTCGACATTCTCGGCACGCCGTCCATCGACGACTTTTACGCCATCTCGAGCTCGCGGAGGTGTGTTTGTCTCCCTTTTTATCTTCAACTTTCCACATTTCCTGGCGGTGGCCGATTTGGGCACGGGGCTCCTTTTTTGTGCGGCGGGCCGTGTGACCCGCATTCTCGCGCCCCATCGCGTTCCTGCGCCCTCCTCGTTATTCCCAGAGCCAACGCTAACGCACCGCCCAGCCGCGAATACATCCGCGCCCTCCCCTTCCGCAAGAAGCGCCCCTTTGCCGCGCTCTTTCCAAAGGCGAACCCGGATGTGCGTGTCGCTTTTTTTGTCTTGTGTTTCATCTTTCGTCTTGTGTTTTGGGTTTGGGTTCGTGTCGAATGGGGAAGAGCTGGGCGGACCTGGAGAGGTCGAGAGTGGAGAGCCGATTTGTGCGGAGATGATGCCTTTCGACGGATCTGAGGGGTGCGGGGATGCGAGAGATGAATGTGGTGGCGTCTTCCTCGTTACGCGCCGCATCCTTCCTGGCGACGCGCGCGTTTTCTCGTGCGGCAGCGATTGGTCCGATGGCGCCGACACTGGCCAGATTCAGACGGGACGATTCATCTGCGTCCTTCTCCCGCGTCCCTGACCTTTTCCCCTCTTCTTCCCTCCTCCCCATCCCTTCCCCCTCTCTTCTCTCCCACTTCTCCCCTTCCCACTCTTCTTCCTCTCATCCATCAAACACCAAACACTAACCCCCATCCCACCCCAGGCACTCGATCTGATGGAGAAATGCCTCACCTTCTCGCCAAAGCGCCGCATAGAGGTCGGCGAGGCGCTGGCGCATCCGTATTTGCAGGTACGTCGTTTCGGTTTACTTTGCTTTGTCTGTTTTTTCGGGGGTCGTTTGCGGAGGTCGTTTCGGTGTGGTGTGGTGATGGTGCGAAGCGGACGAGACGCAAGTAGAACGGACCGCCATTGAGAGAGTGGGGCTTGCGGGCAGGCTGTCATCTTTGCTTGAGACCGCGCTCATAACGAAGAGGCGAAAGGGCCCTCATCGTTGCCTTCACGCATCGCACTGTCGTGGTATGATCTTGCGTCGGAGGATCAAGTGCTCATCTGTTTCGCTTCGCCGTTACTTCGCTTCTGCCCTGTTTCAGGCATGAGGCATCTGCCGTTGGTGCCACGCGGGGAGGGGGGGGGATAATCTTCGTCGTCCTCCGGTCCGCTAACGTTCAGGTGGATCCGTTCGATAAAAATAGGCTTTGGCTTGCTTTGCTTCATACATTTCTCATGCTACGTCCGACCATCGTGTCGTCTTCGCCAACTGTTTCCTTACATTTCCTCGATGCCTCCCTTTTCGTAATCACAACCCTAACATAACTCTTCTCTCGCAGCCATACCACGACCCCGCCGATGAACCCACCGCGGAGGCGATCGACCCGTCATTCTTTGACTTTGACAACGGGGACCCGCTGGGGAAGGAGGATCTCAAAGGTGCATCGCTTGTTTCCTCCTCCTCCTCCTTCATTGCCCCACTAACTGCCCACGCAGTACTCATCTACGAGGAGATCACGCGCCCGGACAACCCCTCCGCGCCGTTCGTGCTGCAAAGCGTCGGCACGGGCTCGTGAGTGCTGTTACAGGCGCGCGTAACGTCTGTCTTGCTTGGGCGGGGCGGGGGCGGGGCGGAGGAACTCAAACGAGGAAGAAGAGGAAGAAGGGGCAGTGCTGCGCTGCGCTGCTGTTGTACGAGGGGCGGGGAGTGCCCTGTATTTATATATTGGGTCTTTAAATAATGCGAAACCGCGTCGTAATTCGTGAATATTGAATGCACTGGATGTACTACTCATTATTGTTTGGCAGGAAACTATATCGGGACGCCTGATGTGATCTGACTCGGAATCAACGTCCCCTAACATCTCTTGTCAATGTCGACGCGCACGAAGACCCCACCACCTCTCAGCGCGCGCGAGAGCGTGTTTCAGCTGTCGTCCCTTGCAAGCCTCCTCCGCGACCCTTGGAAAGACTCCCCGCAGGTTGCGGTTCGCCCGGATTATGAGAGCGAGGCCCCTAACCACTGGCAACCGCCCACCGCAAAATTCTTGAACCACCTTTCGGCCTGCCTGACCAGGGGCGAGAATAGAGTCGTTGCAGTGACAGTTGGTCCAGTGGGAGTGAATGGAACGGTTTCGGTTTCTGTCATCTCAAGGTTTGCTCACGACACTTCGAGTCATTTTTTTCCCCAGTACATACTGAAGAAATCATAGTCCGACCAACAGCCCGTCGAGCTCCCAAACCCTTACTTCTTGGTTTGGTTTCGACAAGTTATACTTCAACCCTGACTGACTCATTTCATTAACAGTTCCGTTCAGGCGGTGTCCGGCCAAAGGTTCTGTTCAGATTCTCGCATTTTCCTTCCATCCTAATCCCATCGAAGTAATGCTACCGCAGTCCGCGAGGCGGATTCCTTTCCAGAGTCGCCAGACCGTGACGAAAAGGGCAATGTGGTACTTTGGACTCTTCCACCAGCAGAGACCGCCTCTGCTATTCTGTGCGTGGTTTCTCATTTCGATCCGAGTGGTTGCTTATTATCTACCAGAGATTCCCTCTTACGTGGGGACTTTAAGAACGCCATCAGGCCCTCCGCCTTCCCCGACTACGTCAGAGAGTCTTTCACACTCTTACGGGCAGCTGCCTTGCGTATAAAAACAACTCCCGCAGAAGCGCCGAGGATACGAGAAGCTCTCTGTATATATTTCGTTGGGCAGTGCGAAAACAAGATGAAATCGCGTGCACGCGCCATTGGACACCATTACCCCCTGGACCTGCTGGAGGTTTGGTCTCCCCCTCCAGGAGAGGAGTTGCCGCACGAACATATAACGATCGAGAACGATTATCTCGCAAGATCTTTACACGACAATACTGTTCCTCACACCGGGAGCTCATTTCTCTTCTCTCGGAAGACTGCCAACATTTGGTGGGCGGTCATGATTGGGCTGGTGTCTACCTTGACATCCCGGCTCGATATCGCTGCGGAGGATCGTAAAGGGGACCACATTGCGACGCTAACAGGGTATTCAATATGTCTGCACACCGCATTGCGCAAGATTCCCGGAGCTTTGTGGAAATCTACCTCGCTCATATTGCATCTCGTCGAATGTTTGAAAAATAGTATTTGTGTTTCCACTTGGTCTAACACTGCTTCGCTTACGAGTGATGTATAGGAGAGCCCGTAGGTGATGAGGAAGCAGGGAAACCACCCCAAGAAGTTATAGACGCTATGCCTTTGGGTCTTTTTTTTCCCACTCAGAAGTGAACGCGTTACTAATTCCTATTTAGGATTTCCACTCCCCGCTGGCGTCCCTCATGGTCTTGCTTTGTTTCTTCGCGCCATAAACTCCATCTGTGTTTGGACGACAGGTCCCCCAATCCTCCTTAACTCGATCATACACTATGCTTCGATTCCAGTAAATGTTTCTGTCGTGGACCTTCCGCGGGCCCCAGTACATGCATACCCGCCCAAGGAAATCGTGGCCAGGTGGGCGCGAATTGAAAAATGGGAAGATGCGGTCCAGATCTCAGTGCTCAATGCACTGAAAGAGACGGCTATAGAGCCCGATGACGGCGCTTGCCATTGCGAGGCTGCCTTGATGACCTCGGTCATTCTGCGCGCAAATACAAAAGCGAAGCCAGAGTTCGCAGAACCGATCTGCCTCATCAGGGCTTTTGAGTCAATGGACGCGTCTGTGAGTGTTTTTCTTTGTTACATTCCAGTTTTTGAGGGTTCATCCAATACAGGACATCGCCATGGAGTCGAGATTCGCTGTCGGCGTGGCCAAAAAGTGCTGCACCGTCTGCAAAATGCTCGGGGACATTCTGCAAGACAGATACTGGGTGAAGTTTGATCTGCCTGGCGGCGACAGTACGCTCCGCCCATGGGTACCTCCCCATTGGTTACCCGACGCCGTCACCGCCGATCTCGAGAAGAGATTGGTAGGAGTAGTTCGGCGGATGGTTGAAGTTCAAGGGTGCCTCCTCGACAGCAGGGATTCGACACCTGGGAGTGCCGGAGGCTCACCCGAGATCTCGGGGAGGATTTCTGGACTGGCGGACATGCCTATACTCAAAATGTAGTTTTAGCACGGAGGTCGGCGAGGCGCGCCTCTTCAGGTGGGTTCTGTTCGATTGTAAGCTGTGGGTATTTTTCGTTTTGGTGTCATGCTCTGGAGACCACGCTGGAGAGGGCACACACCGGTCGTGTATGACCTTATGTCGGTTCATCCATTCCCTTCCCCCTTCATGCACCGCGCCGTGCTGGTGTGATGCGTCAGAGGACTAAGGGCGCATCCGTTCCGTTCTTGGTTATTGGCGCCTTGTCGTGGGGATGTCGTGGGGATATTCTTTCTCGTCCACTGCTGCGCTGCTGTTGTACACACACAGTATGCGGCCTGAATAAATGGGTCGTGTTTTGCGAAACTCCTGAATAAAAACGATGTACGCTCCCGCGAAAAAAGCATTTCGAACCTGCAGCTGAGTACATAGGACGTCAATGGCGTAGATGGACGCAGCGAATGGCACAAAAATGGCATCACCGTGGCTTGAACACGGGACCTTCAGATAAAGATTTAGAGGCGGCTAGTCTGTACTTCAGTCTGCTGCTCTCCCAACTGAGCTATGACGCCGATGGAGGGCATGCACTCCCGGACAATACCACCCCAGGGCGACCGATAAGGCAGGTGCGTGCAAACGCGTGCCATCCAAACCTGCCTTTTAAAATCTGCAGCTCGCATGCATCTCCTGGGCCGCGCGCAGGCGCGCCCAGCGCCGCTCCTTTACTTTGGTGCGCGCTACAAAAAGACGCGGTCCTCATACTACGTGCCCGGGGCCAACGCATCCTCTGGCGGCAAGAAGCAAGGCGGGGCGGTGGTGCAGCGCGACGCGCAGGGACGGCCAATTGTCAAGGCGCGCGAGAGGAGCGCGGGGACGTTCAGACCACTGGCCGCGGGCTCATTAACACACGACTTATTCGAGAGTGCTGTGGAAGGCGGCATTGGGCGCGTTGAGCTGGATGTGCCGCCAATGCTGCCGCGGCTGCTGGCTCCGGGCGTGGCAACGAGGTTCCACGACATGGACGCGACGAGCCCGCTGCGGGTGTATGGTGTCCCGAAGCACATGCTGCTCGAGGTGCGCGTCTTTCCTAGCTCAAATACTAATAAAGAAATACTGGATACAGTTCCGTCTGCTGGGCATGCCCGTGTCGATTACGACGTCGACAACGCTCTCGCTCATCCGCGCCCTCGAAGAAGCCAAGTCGCAGCCCGCAAGACTCGTCCTCAACGGCCGCGCAGGCGTCGGCAAGTCGTTCCTCCTCCTCCAGGCCGCCCAGTACGCCGCCTCGACCCGCCAGTGGATCGTCCTCTACATTCCGCGCCCCCGCACGCTCGTCGACGGCTCGTCTCCGTACCAATACTCCCTCGCCACCCGCACCTACCTCCAGCCGCGCATCGCCGCCCAGACCCTCTCCCGCCTCTTGCGCGCAAATGCCCATATTCTAGACGAGCTCGAGACCGGCGACGAGATCGTCCTGCCCGACGGGGGCGCGTCTTTCCCCGTCGGCACGTCCCTCCCCGACCTCATCCAAGCGGGCATAGAGGCCGACGGTGTGCGCGCCCCGTTCGTGCTCGAGGCCGTCATGGACCAGCTGGCCGAGCAGGAACACTACCCCGTCCTCATCGCCATCGACGACTTTCAGGCGCTGACCGGGCGCTCGCTCTATCGCGACCCGCGGTTCAAGATGGTACGACCGCACCATCTGAGCATGCCACGGCTGTTGTTAGAGTACGTGAGCGGACGCAAGAAGCTGGTAAGTTTTTCTGTGTTGCCTCTTATCTAACTGCTGACCGCCTTCACAGGCCCGCGGACTCGTCCTCACCGCCCTCTCCCGCACCAACACCCAGTTCCCCGTCACCCCGCAGCTCGCCGACGCGCTCAGCCTCTCTGACGAATTCACCCCCAGTCCGACAAAGGGCCGGCGCTACAGACGGAGCGCGCAGCTGGCAAAGTACTTGGAGACGGAGATCGAAGGTGCGCCTTTCCCTCTTCCCTCTTCCCTCTTTCCTTTCCTAACCATAGATCAACCCAATCTATAGAGCCCATCGACCCCCCAGTGTACGATTCCTCCTCCGAGGCCGACGCCTGGACCGGCTACACCGCATACGACCCCCCCATCTACGAAGACACCCTCAAGTCGACCGCGGCGGACCCCTTCCCCGCCGCGCGCCCCGCGGGCGTCTGGCGCGGCAAGATCGTGCAGGAGGACGATGCGGACGACGCCGCGGTGCCGGAGCCCGAGGACCTGGACGCCGAAGAGGGTGTCGTCGCGGAGGGCGGCAAGAAGAAAAAGGCACAGCCGAAGTCGACAAAAGCGAAAGCCACGACGCGTAAAGTGCGCGCATTGCGCGCGGTGCGCGTGCCCGACGCGCTGTCGGTGCGCGAGGCGGCGGGGCTGTTCGAGGTGTGGATGGACGCGGGCGTGTTACGCACCGGTGAGCTTTTCCTTTTCCTTTTCCCCCCAATCCCCTTCCGCGCTAACCACCCACCCCTCGACCCGTAGGCGGCCAACGCCGCGCCGCGCGCCGCGCGGAGCTCGACACCCTCAAGGAGTACCGCAAGATCAAGGCCGAGGTCGACTCGGACCCCGAGACCGCATACGACGCGGAGCTCGCCGACGCCGACCTCCCCGGCTCTTCCTCCTCCGCGTCCTCTTCCCCATCGTTCCCCCCGCCGCCCGCGCAGACGGGCAAAAAAGCAAAGCCAAAGCCCAAGAAGGGCTTCTCGGACTTCGCGTCGGCGGTGCAGCAGAAAACCTTCCCCTCCCCCGCCGCCTCTACATCCACATCTACATCCACGTCCACGAGCAACGCGAACAAAATCGAAGCGCCCGAAGGCGAGCACACGATCGCGGCGCTGCGCGCGGAACTCGAAGGGCCGGAGTACGACGAGATCCGCGCGCTCGAGGCCGCGGCGGAGCTGGAGGTGTGGAACAGGCGCCGGCAGAAGGAGGGGCTTGATCGGGTGTGGAGTATCGATGGGCGGGCGGAGGAGGAGGGCGAAGGTGAAGGTGAAAGTGAAGGAGTTGGGGGGATGGTGGAGGCGGACAGCGCGGAAGACGACTTTGTGCGCGCGGCGGAGGCGTTCGGCGAGTCTGCGCCGGCTGTGAATAAGGCGGCGACCGGGCCTCTCGACCTTGGGGACGATCCGGAGATTGCGCGGATTGTGTCGGCTGGCGTGCGCGCAGCGCTCACGAATCCTGCGTCCCTGGGTGGAGCGCAAGGCGAGGAAGAGGAAGGCGAGGAGGTGGAGGTCGCGCAAGAGCAGGAGGAGGGCGAGGAAGAGGAGGAGGGTGAGGAGGATGAGGATGAGGATCTTCGGGTGCAGGAGGAGTCGGGCGCGGACGAGCTGTTCTTGGGCAAGTATACGGAGAGCAGTGGGAATGCGCGCGCGTTCGTTGGGGGGCTGGTGGGGACGTTGCAGACCAGTGGGTAGGCGCGACTGGTACTGTACTGTGGGTGGAAAACGCGCGCCGTCGGATGCGGCCGTCGCGCGTCGGGGCTCGACGCGGTAGGACCGATGCGGCGGGTGGGCGTCAAGAATCAAAATTAAACCACTAATCTCTACGTATTTAGCAGGTGTTATAAACTTAGATTTATTCTCCTCGGACATGCATCTCGTATGTCGTCGTCTCACAAAGTCAAATGGACAAGAGGCAAGGTCTCCTGAACATGTAACGAGACGTGTACTTGCTAACACCGTAGTAAAATCCTCCAGGAATGGAGGTCATCCTGTAATTAAGAAAACGCATAAATAGTGCGCCGTACTGAGCCCACCACTTTCCCTCCCATGGACATTCTGTATCGTGGATATGGAGAGTCATCTGCCAGTATCTTCTCCTCAGAGACAGGGTTCCGGGCCCGAGACACGACGACAGACGGGGAGAATGCGCGCGTGCTCTCCACGCATCTTAACTGGAGCCAGCGCAAAGCGTCGCCGTTGATATCGACGACGACGAGCCGCGCAAAGGCTGAAACGATTGCGGAAGCGGCCAGGGGGTGGTACGATAAGCGGCGGTCTGGGCGAAAAGAAAGGATCTTCATTGCGACGCTCGACACTAGGCTTTCGTCCCCTGGGTGCCCGCGGAGATTCCATATGCTCACGCTGGCGGATCGTCTAGGGGTACCGCTAGAGCCGTGGACCTCGAACTACCACGAGTATCTCTTTGAGCATTTTATTCCGCTTGAGTGGGTGATAGAGGTGCAAGAACTGAGTGAGTGTTGGTCGCTTCCAAGTGTACCGAGGCCCTCATGGCAATTTTGCCAAGATGCCTCCTCCATGGAATGGGTGACGGTCTATCAAATGGCTGCTGAAGTCTGCGAGACCTTGCTCAGCGAGCCATTCCTGTGCAATTGCGAGAAAGACTGTGCTTGGATGTCCATCGCGTACGCGTAACGCAGATGAGTGTGTGTGTTCATTATGATAGCTTCTAGGAAACGTTCTGTATGCGTCGAGTACTAGATTACTCTCAAATCGCTACCTTTTCGTCCTTCTTCTCCTCGATGAGACCGGCAGCCGCAGCTTGTTTCGTGGCCACGGCGTTCGCCACGCTCAAGTAAGTATCTGCGCAGCGAAAAAAAGGACAGGTGAGTGAGGAATGGGGAGAAGACTTCGCGTACGTACTCCAGAACAAGCTGACGACGCTCACGACCACAAAACGCAAGTGCGGCGGGACGAGCCAGAAGTTGATTATTTGTGTCGGGACAAACACCGCCCTGAATTACAATGAATTACCGAAGAGGGAAGCAACAGCGTTCTCACCAATTGCGCAGGAGCGTCGGCACGTAGCCCTGCAAGGAGAAAAATACGGTTCAGAGGAGGAACGACTAACGCGTAGCATAACTCACAGCGCCTATCCGAGGTACGATTTCTTTCGGCTTGCCCTCTAACAGGGCCATAGACCCGAAGAATACGATAACAGCGCCTGCCATTCGGTCAGTACGGGAGACCGAATGAACTCAGTAAATCTAACCCGGAGTCAATACCATTTGGTCAAGCCAAACCTGTTGGGGTTGGATATTTTTCTATCGATGAGGAACGAACGAAGGGCATACGCGGTAAACGATGGCTTTCGTTGGGGTCTTGAATTGAATTCGGTTCAGCAACTGATACCACTTCGTCATGGCGGGCCCGAACATCGCCCCTGCGTGTGGATTCAAACCCGAAGACAACGCAATAAAAACGAGGGATTTTTACCACCGTAAAACGTGAGTCGGGCCGTCCGAGCGAACTGGAAACAAGTTGAGAGAATCTGTCATAAAGGACGCGACGGAGACCCACGTCATGCGCCTTTCCCTTCCGTTCCACCGCCTGTTGCGCGATAACGTCCCCAGCGCCGAACAGAACTGCAGCAGTACCGCATTGTGCGAGCATAGGCCGGCGGATAAGCATGGCGCTGGCGAGATAGTCCCCAATAAGTCGAGGGACCATAGCTAGGCATCGAAGACCCACTTGTAGGCCCTAAAGAACGACGCCATGGTGGACAAGACTCAACAGACGCGTGCCAGTGGAGGGAGGAAACAAAAATTTTGAGTGGGGGTAAATTTGGGGTTTCGATCCATTGATCAAGCGC